ATATAAATATATATACATATTATAAAACATTTCTATTTTTTTTATTCTTTAACTTTTATTTAAATTTTATTTATATTTTTTTTTTTTTTATTTTTTTATTTATTAAATTATTTATAAATTTAACTTATAATATATTATTTACTATGTTTTGATTTATTCTATATAAATATAAAAATGGGAAATATATGTTTATTTTAAAAATAATCGGAATATGTTGTTATAACATAAAAAAATAATAATTTTTAAAAGAATTATAAATGAAATTAAATTTCAATAAAATAATAATAATATAATAAACTTGATTATTACAATAAATCTTTAAATGATATTAACATTTAGCAATTAAATAATAGTTAAAAATAAATAAACCCGAACAAATACATAAATTAAAGTTAAGTAATAATTGAAAAAAGTTAATTTTTTTTAATGGATAGTTAATTACATATAAATTTAATACCTATTGAAGAATAAATTCAAAAAGAATTAAATACTGAAAAATAAATACTTATTAGTAGTTTTATATAAAAGAATCATAAACATTAAATAATTCAACCAGATTAAATTATAATAATAAAAAACTTGAAAAGAGATAAAGGAATATTTTCTTAATACGAGAAGTTAAAAAATAATCCTAAACATAATTTAGTAAAATTAAAAAAAAAAAAAATGAAAATAATGAGGTTTACTTCTAATGGTAACTATAATTCGTATAAGGAATTGACTAAAATGAAGTTTATTTTAAACATAAAATAACATAGTTTTATTTATAATCAAATGAATCTTATAGAATAGAAAATTAAAATGATGAATGGCATAAAGGATAATTAGTTTCTTGTGGAAATTTAAATAAATTAAATGAAGATTAAATATGGAAAATAGAACTTTATAATAATAATAATGAAGGTCTTTTATAAACAAATTAAATTTTTAGAATAAAACATAAATAAAGTAATAAATATTTAACTTCATTCTAAAATAAAGTTTTTTGTTTTGAAAATTAATAAATTATAAGAAACAGTATAAATTATTGCATGAGAAAAGTTTAATCTATATAAAAAAGTGTGATAAAATAAAATTAAGGATATGGATAAGAAGATAGTCATGTAGATAGGAAAAGTGAGTTAGGATTTTTACATCTAAATAAAAGTGATAAAAATTTAATATATTAAAATGGTAAAAAAATAATACTTTAAATAATAATAATAATAATGATAATAATAATGAATATAAAAATAAAAATAATAATGAAGATAATAAATATAATAATATTAATAAAAATAATAATAATAATAATAATAATAATAATAATAATAATATTAATAATAATAATTATTTTAATAATGATTAATACTTTAATCTTTTTAATGAATCTATTCTTAATAATGATTTATTTTTTATTTCAGATATTATTTATTAATGATTATTTACTTTTCATTTTATTTTATTTGTTATATTTTTTATAATTTTTTATATTTTTTTTTTTATTTTTTTATTTTTTTTTTTTATATTTTTATTAATATTTATATCTATTTTTTTATATATTTATATTAATTTATTTAAAAAAAAATACATAATGGATTATTTTTCTGTTTTTATATTTACTTCTTCTATTAAGTTATTTTTAATTCCAGCTTAGTAATATTTTATTATATAAAATATATAAATATATAAATATATAAATATATTAAAATATATATATATTTAAAATTTAGTCATTCAACAGATTTCTATGTGCATATAAATTGGTTAAGGATTACACATAATTTACATTTAAAGGATTGGTATTATGATAATTTATCAATATGGACTCTTGATTATCCTCCTTTTTTTGCATATTATTAATTATTTTTGAGTTACTTGTCAAATTTTTTTGATAATTAAATAAATTAGGTATCGAAAATTTTTTTTTTAAAAAAAATAAAAAATAAAAATAAAAGATAGTTAATGAAGAATATTAAAGTTATAACTGTATATTATTTTTAAGACTAAGTGTTATTTTTAGTGAATTTATATATGCTTATTCATTATATTATTATTGTAAATAAGAAAAGAAATAAAATTGTATCATGAGTTTATTTTTTTTAGTTTTTTTAACTTTGCTAATGTTTTAATAGATAATATTCATTTTTAATATAATGGATTTTTATAAGGATTATTAATTTTGAGTATTTGTAAAATAAAAAATGTAAAATAATATATTTTTTAATTTTTTTAATTAATAAAATAAATAGAAATAATATTTTTAAGGGGCTATTATATATAGCATTTTGCTTAATTTTAAACATATTTATTTATATTTTTCTTTGACTTTTTTCTTTTTATTATTAACTTAATTTTGTTTATTTAAAAATTAATTTCTTATTTAAAATTTTTTAAACTTTCTTTATGTGTAATATCAGTTTTTTTTATAAGCTTTTTTCCATTTATTGGTAATTTATATATATATATATATTTCAGAATATAATTTCTATTTTTAAATAAATAAAAGTTCATATAAAATAAATACTTATAAGATTATTTCCTTTTGATAGAGGTTTAGTTCATGCCTATTGGGCACCTAATTTTTGGGCTTTATACAGCTTTTTGGATAGGTTTTTGTTTAAAATTTTTAATATTATATTTGAAAATAAATCTAATTAAATAAATTAAACAACTTCAGGAATTGTATAAGTTAGTTAATTTGATATTTTAATTTAAATAAAAACTTATCATACAATAATAATTATTTTATTATTATCAATTGTAATAAATATATATATATATATATATATATATATATATATATATATCAATATTTTAATATTATTTTCCTTATGCATATAGCCTTTAATATATATTATATGCAAAAATTTCTAAAAAAAACAAATTCTTTTATACTTTTGTATTTAATCTTTTATTTTTTATAATTTTGGATTTCATGTGCATGAAAAAGCTATTTTGTTGCCTTTAGTTTTGTATTAATTATATTCTTTTGGCAAAAAAAAATATATAAAGTAACTTTTTATTAATTTTATAAATAATTAATTTTTTTTTTTTTTAAGAACTAGTTTTTTGTTCAATTATTTTAATTGTATAGGATTATTTCCTTTATTACCTAATAATTAAGGTAAATTAATATATATATTTTTTAATAAATATATAGAATCTATATTGAAAATATATTATAATATAGAAACAAGTGTTAAATTGATTGGATTCGCTATTTATCATTTTACTTATTGGGCTTATTTAAAAAAAAATACGTAAACAAAAGTTAAATTTAACTTTTTAGAAATTTTTTTAATTTATATGGGATTAATAATAAGCTTGTATGGAAACATTTTTCATTTTATAATATTTGGAAAGTTAAATATATAATATAAATTTTAATTAAATAAAAAATAAAATATAGAAATAAATTATAATTTTTGCCTATAATGATTCATTCGGTTTTTGTAGGATTATTAAACATGTTTTTTATGATTAAAATTTATTATGATTTAATTGCATATTCTAAAAAAAAGTAAAATGATATAATTTTTGTTTTTTAAAAAAAAGGAGAATAATTTAAATAATAATATATAAAAGATTTATTTATATTTTAAAAAAATATAGATTTAATTTTTAAAAAATCCACAACAACAAAAAATAGAAAAAAATATAAATAAAAGATTATAAATATTATATAAATAAATATATATTTATATATATTTAAATAAATACAAAAAAATCATAAAAAATATATACTAATCTAATAAATTTTTTAAAAATAAAATGGATAATAGTCAATCTCTTTTTTTTTATTAAGAAGGTAATATATTATAGAGAAATTCTTAAAATTAAATTTCTTAATCATATATATTATACCCATAAACTAAAACTGAAATATCTGAATTTTTAGTAAAATTAAATAGCCTAAAATAAATTTAAACACCTGATTAATAAATTTTAAATTAAAATAGAGAAATATTAATTTATTTAAATATAAAATTTGATTTTTAATCTGAACTTTTAAAAATAAACGAAAAATATTTAAATGTAAAAGTTGAAGAAATAATAAAAAACTCTATAATTTCCTTTGACTAAATGTTAAAATAGCATAAATTGAAAATAAATACAGAAAATAATTGGAATTTATTTTTAGCAAAAAAAAAAAATGGAAAACCTAAATAAGATCTTCCTCCTTTACTTAGTTAAATTTATTTATTTGAATTATCTTATTGTGATATTTTCTCTTTACATTGTGATGAAAATGTTAAATTTTTAGAAATTTAAAAAGAAGAAGATGAAGAAGAAAAAGAAAAAGAAGAAGAAGAAGAAAATAATATCTAAAATAAATATACAAATGAAGTAGACAAAAATGAATATTAAGAAAATATTAGCATTATTCTATAATAATAAGCAATTGATTTATATAAAAATGGTATTAAGAAATAAAACAAAGAATCTTTTATAAAACAAAAAGAATAAAAATTATGTACTTATTGCTTTTGAATTTAATTTTAAATAAAAAAAAATAAAAAAAAGATATAAATATATATAAAATTTATATTAATATTTATATAAATAAAAATAAATGGAAAAAAATGAAATAATATATTTATATTATTAAGAATTTTTCGAAAATTTAAGTTAAATAAAAGAAATTGATCATATACCAAATGAAATCATGTAAATGCTATTTCCAAATAAACTTATTGTTATATAAGAAAATTAAATGGGAATTTCATTCGATGCAGTATAAATTTTATATAATGAATGTATTAAAATTTTATAATAAAAAAGTAAATAATATATATAAATATATTATTATTATTATTATTATTATTATTAATATTATTATTATTTTTTATATTATATATTTTTCTTATAGAAATTTGTTAAATGAATGATTATCTTATAAACATCATTTCTAAAATTTTATTATGTATTAATGGTGAAAATAATACTATGTGGAATTTAAGGTTTAATTTGTGGAATAAAAATAATATTATTTTTGAAGAAGAAATGCATTTTAATTCACTTATTTGTTAAAAATTTAAAAAATCTAGTATTGCTTGGTATTATAGATTAAAACTAATTTAAAAAAATATATAATAATTAAATTTGGAATAATTTTTGGAAATGGAAAATTAGTTTATATAACTTTGTTTAAAAAAATATCCAAGAAATTATCATTGTTGGACTTATAAAGGAAATTTGTGTAAATATTTATAGGAAATAAATAGTTAACTTTGCATATATAAAGAAATTAAATGGATAAAAAATATATTAAAAATAATATACATGAATATAGTGGATTTAATTATTTAAATTTATTAATTAAATAAAATATAGACAAAAAAGAAATAATTATTTGGTTATAAAAATAAAAAAATAAATATGAAAAATTGTACACATAGCAATATACAAAATAAGAAATTGATTATGGAAAATTATAATCATTAAATAAATATATTGAAATAATAAAATAA